AGAGCGTGAGAGCAGATCTGGGAGCGATAACGGCGAAGGAATCTCCGGCGATGATCAAGACATTTCCGATAAGCCGCCCAGGAAGAAACGATACCATCGACACACTCCTCAGCAAATCCAGGAGCTCGAAGCGTAAGCCCATATCCAAATCCTTGCTCGTGTTTTCTCCCGGGAATTCATTGATCGCATCCTTCGTGATCTGATGATTGCCGCTTCGTTTTGGCTTTCAGAATGTTCAAAGAATGCCCGCATCCGGACGAGAAACAGAGGCTGGAGCTTAGTAGGAGACTTTGCCTAGAGACAAGACAAGTCAAGTTCTGGTTCCAGAACCGCCGCACCCAGATGAAGGTTCATCATCGTCAACATTTCTGGATTTTCTCTCAAATTATTTATAATGTTTACTTTTAATTATCGCAGACGCAATTGGAGCGGCATGAGAACTCGTTCCTCCGACATGAGAACGATAAGCTAAGAGCAGACAACATGTCGATACGTGAAGCGATGCGTAACCCAATCTGCAGCAGCTGCGGTGGACCCGTCATGCTCGGCGACGTATCCCTCGAAGAGCAACAGCTCAGGATCGAGAACGCACGTCTCAAAGACGAGCTCGATCGCGTCTGCGCCCTCGCCGGTAAGTTCATCGGCCGCCCCATGTCCGGTGACCCACCGCTCCCCAACTCCTCCCTCGAGCTCAGCTTCGGATTCCCGCCGGATTTTGGGATCTCGACCACCGGCGCTGGCTTTTTGCCGGCGATACCTCCAACGCCGCAGCAGCCGGCGGTTTCTGGGGTCTATCAGAGGTCTGTTCTCTTGGAGCTGGCTCTGACCGCCATGGACGAGCTTGTGAAGCTGGCTCAGACGGATGAGCCGTTGTGGGTGAAAAGCTTAGACGACGATAGAGAGATTCTCAACCACGAGGAATACGTCAGAAGTTTCCCGCCCACCCTCGGTCCGAAGCCGACCGGTTTTGTGACCGAAGCTTCCAAAACCACTGGTTTGGTCATCATCAACAGTTTGGCCCTCGTCGAGACCTTAATGGACTCTGTAAGTTCCGTCACTTCTCCGGTCAACACAAAAAGTAACGGTTTTTCTTATTCCTATCTACTTGGGAGGATATTTACGTAATTTTCTTTTTCCTGAATGACTTCACAGAAGCGATGGACGGAGATGTTCCCATGCATCATCTCAAGAGCCTCAACCACCGACGTGATCTCCGGCGGAATGACCGGAACAAGAAACGGTGCACTTCAGCTGGTAAAAGCTTCAATCTTTCGATCCCTTATGGGTCGACTTACCTCAAATTTCAAATTTTTTTCTCTTCTCGTTTGTTACAAAAAAAGATATTTTATTACACCGAAACCGGGACTTTTCATAAACTCAGATGCATGCGGGGCTTCAAGTGTTGTCGCCGTTGGTTCCGGTTCGCGAGGTGAATTTCCTCCGGTTCTGCAAACAGCACGCGGAGGGCGTATGGGCGGTGGTCGACGTATCTGTCGACGGTGGTCGGGAATATTCTGGCGGATCTCCGGCGCCTGTCCGTCGACTTCCGTCTGGCTGCGTGGTGCAGGATATGCCCAACGGATACTCCAAGGTACGACTTCTTGAATTAAAAACAGCATTAATTGGACCAAAAAGCTCATGGGAATCTGACTCAGCCCGGACCTTTTTTGGCAGCTAATTCTTTGATTCTAGTTGATACAAGTCTTAAAAAATCTAACTTTTTTATTCCTCGGGCATATTTACGAAATCATTATAATCTCTAAGCTATATTTGCTTGTGGGTGAATCACTAGAAGCTCAGGCATCTAAGTGTCTTGTTTTTTAGCCACCCTCCAAAAATATTATTTTATTTCGAGATAAATAATCCATATAGAACTAGTTTTATAGACTTATGGATAACATTGTATTGGTATCTGTATACATTGTTCTGAATAATATATTATATGATCTTCCTCCTCGATTTTTGATGGGAACCTTCCGAGATATAGCTGAATTCTCATGGATCCGGATGCTTCTCCTGTCTGTCGGACCAGAGATTTGAAGTTTTCGACAACTGGGTCTGTCTAAAAATTTTAAAATATTGCAAAATCGAGGTCCTCTTTTATTATTATTATTATTTGCATGATTTAATGAGCATCGTTACAAAAGTATTTGTGCAATCGGAAGAACACGTAATTTCACACCCCCCCCCTTTGCATCTACAGTATCTTCTAATTTATTATTTTGGATTTTATACCCCTTAAATAAAAATTATTTTACTAAACATTTTGCCCTTTCTATCCTCTAGGAGGTAGCAACTCCATGATAAGTTCAAGTCTTAACATGTTGCATAAACTATGAATAATGCCCATGCATAGATATTTGTATTTATTATGCCCCATATAATCAATCATTCATTTTTCTTTTATGTTTAAAATTGTAGTAACGTTATCACACTGTAGTGTCACTGTCCCATAACAATAAACCGGGTGAAGAAAGACAGCCCCCCATTGGATCTAATTTTAGCTTGATGTGATAACCGGCCGGTTTGGTTTTTCTTTAACAAAGTAATGATTGGACCGGTGGCGGTGGTAGGTGACGTGGCTGGAGCATGCAGAGTACGAGGAGAGCCAAGTCCACATCCTCTACCGACCACTGTTGCGGTCTGGCCTCGGCTTCGGCCCTCGGCGTTGGGTCGCTACTCTCCAGCGGCAATGCGAGCGTCTCGCCATCCTCATGTCCTCCTCCGTCTCCCCTCCCGACAACGCTGGTCCAACCTCTTTATCCTTTAATACGCACATTCATGAAATTATCGAGTACGTATTTTAACGTTATATAAAATGCAATTTACAGCCATAACGCCGAGTGGCCGGAAAGGCATGATGAAGCTGGCGCAGAGGATGACGTACAAATTCTGCTCGGGCATCTCAGCGCCGCCGTCGGTCCACGGCTGGAGAAAGCTGACGGTGGGTCACGTGGACCGTGACGTTAGGGTCATGACCCGTGGCGAGCCAACGGGGATCATTCGGAGCGCCGCCACGTCGGTGTGGCTGCCGGTGCATTCGCAGCGGCTGTTCGATTTCCTAAGGGACGGCCGAATGAGATGTGAGTGGGATATTCTATCCAACGGGGGTCCCGTCCAGGAGATGACCCATTTTTCCATTGGCCGTGATCGCTGCAACTCCGTCTCTCTTCTCCGGTCCAATGTAAGTCCTAATACATATGGGTTTATATCAATGATTCAATGTTAATTTAAACCGTTTTCGGTATAACCATTACCGGTATAGTGATCGGTTTGGTTTGGTCGTGAGGCTGGAGTGGAAGGAACTGATGGATTAAGAGACGACGACGTTTTTGTCCCTTCGGTGACGTCAGGGTTAGACAATAGTGGATTGGAATTTTGGTGATTTAAAAAACGACATTATATTTTGTTTTTATATTATATTCCAAAATCTTGCAGGAAATAGTAACAAAAAGCGTGTCAGCTTTTTGTAAGCATATAAAAAGTCAAAATAAAAGGACAGCTTCAACCTTTTCCCTTTTTCTGTGTTTTTTCTTTTTTTCCTATCCTTTTTTACCCCGCCGACACAGACCTACGTTACACGCACGCCAGTGGCAATTTATCGTAAATATATGCTGTGTTTGAGGGTTAATTCCGTTTCACCGAATTGTTTGGCAGGCAATGAACGCAAGCCAGAGTAGTATGCTGATTCTGCAGGAGACATGCATAGACGCCACGGAAGCGCTTGTGGTGTACGCGCCTGTGGACGTACCCGCCATGCACGTTGTGATGAACGGTGGAGATTCGTCCTTCGTGGCACTCCTCCCCTCTGGCTTCGCTATCCTCCCCGACGGAGGCGGGCCCCACGACGGCGCCGGCGAAATGAAAACTCCTGCGGCCGGTTGTGGGTCCCTCCTGACGGTGGCGTTTCAGATACTAGTGAACAGCCTCCCCACCGCCAAACTAACGGCGGAGTCCGCTGAGACCGTTAACAACCTGATAACGTGCACCGTTGAGAAGATCCGTTCCGCCCTACATTGCGATAGCTGATGACTGACGCCGTCTGCTTTTATTTCTTATATCTGTTCTTTTTATGTAGTTCACTTTCCGGGGTGTCGAGTCAAGAACGAACCGCGCGTGAGGGTGAAAGCCGACTCCTTTCACCGTTTTCGGAAGGGCGAAAACCGTCATTTCGAATAGCGGTGCGGGTCGGTGGTTCGGGTATTGACTCGGGTCAGAAACCCTGATCGATCTGCTCTCATGGACCGTCTGTGTAATCCTTTTCTCTAAGTCGTATATCAAGAACAAATACATGTTGCTTGTTTGTTCAGCGTGAAGTGCACGCGCCACCGTGTTGCGAGTATAAATCGATGGGGGTTAAAAAAAGCTGGCCCCATATCATTAAATGGTTTATTTAGCAGGCTTTCATTAAATGCAAAGGTTCCTTGGCCCGTTGCGTGGGGGGCTTACATAGTCTACCAATGAGGCTTCGCCACGTCAACCTGTGACAGACTGTCGATAGGAGCGTACGTTACGTCGTCGTTTTGCGCTGGTCAAATGTTGTGACTGCACTGATTGGTGGTGCTGGAATTATGCGAGCGACTACAACTGATTGGGCTTTTTAAATGGGCCCAATCTTGACTTATGGGCCTACACAAATTAAGCTCAATATAGTAAGCTATTACTGGACTTGCTAGTCCAAGTATCATATGCTGCTAGGTAAAGGGGTAAAGGTCCAACTTGATTTGGTGCTTCTCAATGTTGTCGGCCCCCAAGGCCCATATCAACGTGGATTCGTCCGCACGTGCAGTGTGCACACACCTTCTTTTGACGTCCTACGGGATCCAAACGCTTCATTGCCAAATGGGCGAGCCATGACTTCACCCGCCGCCCAAGGACACGCATCTGTCCTTCTGGAAATTCTTGGATTTGAAAATGCAAATGAATAGGAACAGGGTTTGAGTTTCTTAGCAAAGAGCCAAATACCTTTTTTTTTTCATGGGCACTTTCCGTAACCTACAAATGCAAAATAATGGGAGTGAAACCTGGACAATAGACATTTTTACGTGTTTAGTGTTGTGATTGACCCACTCAGTTCTGTCCTAAAGAAGAGCCATACTAAAGACAGAACTGGGCGGTGAATCAACAGAGCTGCGACAACGTCTAATAGCTTTTTTCTATATTATTATTAAAAAAAAAAGCAGCATAACATAAATAAAGCTAAAAGTACGACAAAGCATAGTCGGCTAGAGAGCAAGCACAACAAAGCCACTTGCTGAATCAGAGGGTTAAGATTAGGTGATATAATAATAGCCTCACCGTCTAAGAAGAAGATGATGGTCGCATAAGAAGAGGTTATAGATGACAATAGGACTCCTCACAACATGACGTCCGCTCCTTCAAACCACCGATCCCAACACAATCTTCCCTTCAGCCATTTGTCCGGTCACTCTGATGGTAACCTCGAAGCTCAGCTTAGAAGCCGCCTCCAAAAACAACAACGTCGAGGGCTTCACGGTAATTCCAACTCCTTCCGGGGCCATGACTGTTGCGTTGTATCCCCATCTGGTGAGCCCTAAATTTGTCACTGTGCGCCTAAGCATGGCAACCGTTGGTGGCTTGTCTGAACGTCCCAAAGTCATCTGCATTGTTGGGTAGTTGAGGGAATCGTAGCCGAGCCCCGGAAGGTGGGAGGAACAGTCCACAACCTTTCCGACGAGCTTTGCCAGATCAGCTCCGGTGTAGACCTCGCTGCATAGGAATTGGATTTACGACATCTCGTCCATGTCGTATACTAAGCCCGGATCAACTGCTCGCATCGGGTTTATTTGGCCAGCTCCATACCCGAACTCTCCTCCTCATTCACATTACTGCTCACCGGTGTTGCTGTAAACCCAAAAGGATTTTGAAAATGCAAAACAGATTCAAATTTTCCAAACGCGATGACATTCTCCTAGGTATTTCCCAACTAGACCATAAAATAGCGCACCAGAAATCAAGTTACTAGGTCTCGAATCAGGTCCTAAGAGGCAGGAAAACATAATCATCTCTAGTATCAGGTCCTAAGAGGCAGCAAAACATAATCTTATCTAGTAAGGTGAGTTATGTAGCTGAGGTTATGATGGCAGCCCCTGTCCAGTCTGGGTGGAAAGACTTAACATAGGCAGTGATACCGACAGCATGAGGGCATGCCATAGAAGTTCCAGACGCAATGATGTATTTTGAGAATTGGTTATCACCTGCCAATCCAGTCAGTGATCTCAAGGGAGTAAAGGCAGCCAAGATATCAACTCCTCGTGCAGCAATATTGGGCAATTCAAGATATCAAAACCATTACTGATCTTAGTTTCTGTTGGAACATAAACTTGTTCCTAATATTTTGTGCTCTAGAAAAAATGTGTTCAAAGAGTTTAAAATTTTGTGTTCAAATAATTAAGTACTTAGACTATATTTATTAGTAGTTCTAGAATGATCTATGGTGTAGTATATATATGGGTTGTTTGAAGTTTGTAGTACAACAACAAAAAAACACAAGAAAAGAAATACAAAGAAGAAGAAGTATTTTGAGTATTTCTCCTCCTCTCTTCTCATTCATATATACTTATAAAGTATAAAGGAAAAAGCCTAATAGCTTACAAGTGGTATCAGAGCCGGGATATCATGGCGTCGACGAGTTCGATCCAATCGCAAGTTCCGCAACTTACGAAAGACAACTATCGTAGGTGGAGTATCCAAATGGAGGCTCTTCTCGGATCCCATGATGTATGGGACATGGTGGAGAACGGTTATGTCGAATCGGAGACAGTATCGGAGAATGAAGAGGAGAAACACAAAGATCTACGAAAGAGAGAGAAGAAGGCGTTGTTCACAATATATCAAGGAGTCGATGAAGTAACGTTCGAGCTTATTGCCTCGGCGACAACGTCCAAAGAGGCGTGGGAAATTTTAAAGAAATCTTATGAAGGAGTCGATAAGGTGAAGAAGATTCGGTTGCAATCTTTACGATCGCAATTCGAAAGTCTACAACAAGGGAATTCCGAGTCGATCTCGGATTACATTTCACGGGTAATCACTATTGTTCATCAAATGGCGACAAATGGCGAGACGTTGAAGGATGTTCGGGTCGTGGAGAAAATTTTGAGGTCCCTTGACTCAAAATTTGATTCTGTGGCAGTTGTGATTGAAGAATCTAAAGACTTAGATTCAATGACGGTGGAAGAACTTCTTGGTTCTTTGAAGGCGTTTGAAGACAGACTCAATCGGAGAAAAGGAGAAGAAAAATCTGTTGAGCATGCGCTAGAAGCAAAGCTCGCTTTGAAGACCGAAAAATCGAGAGGAGGTTATCAAAACCGAAGAGGAAGAGGTGAAAATTACGGACGAAGAGGTTATGGACCAAACCATCGGGTGCCGACCAACAATCGTAATGATGATGGAGAAAATACAACTGATCACTATGGTCGTGGCGAAAGAGGTGGTCGAGGTCAAAATTGGAACCGAGGCCGTGGTCGTGGATTTGGAAGAAATAATGGAGGAAGGTATGATAAATCTTGGATTTAATGTCATACTTGCAAGAAATTTGGACATTATTCCTATGAATGTTGGCATAATCCTGACAATGATGGTGGAGAGAAAGTCAATATCGTCGATAAAGAATATCATGATGCAGAAGAAGTGTTGATGTTGTCACAAAATGAGGTCGAGCCAAGCGGTGTGTCAGAACCATTTGTTACATGGTATCTTGACACGGGAGCATCCAATCATATGTGCGGCAGAAAGGAGTTATTTACAAAGCTTGTCGAAAGGAACTTTGGCAATATCACGTTTGGTGATCTTTCAAAGAGACCAATTCAAGGGAAAGGGGAAGTCACACTGACCTTCCCGAACAAGAGACAGGTTTGCATCTCGAATGTCTATTATGTTCCCGATATTAAAAGCAATTTGTTGAGTGTGGGCCAGTTGTTGGAGAAAGGTTTTGATGTAAGGTTGAAGAATATGTCTCTAACCATGCGAGACAAAAATGGCCAAATGATCACAACCGTGGAGATGACGAAGAATCGAATGTTTCCATTGAGACTGAGCTTTAATGAGTCGAGGTGTTTGAAGGTAACGACTCTAGATAATTCAACTTTGTGGCATCTTCGATATGGACATCTAAATTTCAAGGCATTAGAATTACTTCAGAAGAAGGATATGGTGATTGGGTTACCCAAGATTGCAGCTCCTAACAATCTGTGTGAAGTTTGTGTTATGGAAAAGCAGCAAAGGAAGTCGTTTCCGACATACAAGTCATGGAGCGCGGCATGTCCCTTGAGCTGGTGCATTCGGATGTTTGTGGACCCATCAATCCCACATCGAATGGAGGTAATCGATATTTCCTGACATTTACTGATGATTACAGTGCAAAGACATGGATTTATATGTTCAAGGAGAAAAGGGAAGTTTTTACTAAATTCAAAGAGTTCAAGAGTATGGTGGAAAAACAAAGTGGATGCCCAATCAAGTACTTGCGGACTGACCGTGGAGGAGAGTATACATCAAATGAGTTTGAGAATTTTTGCAAGGAACACGGGATTTCTCATCAGCTTACCATGCCTCAAACACCACAGCAGAACGGAGTTTCGGAGAGGAAGAACAGGACTATACTGAATATGGTCCGATGTATGCTTAATGAGAGAAAAGTCCCTAAGGAGTTTTGGGGAGATGCTGTTGCATGTGCTGTTTATTTATTGAACAGATTTCCATTGAAGAAAATCAAAGACATGACACCGGAGGAAGCTTGGAGCTTACGAAAACCGAAAGTTGATCATCTCAGAATCTTCGGGTGTGTGGCATATGCAAAAGTGTAGGAAGAAAGGCGAACAAAGCTTGAGGATAAAGGTCAGAAATGCATATTTTTGGATTATGGTGAAAATTGCAGGGGATACAAGTTGTATAATCCCGAAACTCGGAAAATCATAATGTCTCGAGATGTTGAGTTTGATGAGGAGAAGAGTTGGGATTGGAATGGTAGCAATCAATTGCAGAGGATCATTTTCGAAGAAGTTGAGGAGAATTCACCATCCCGAGTTATCCAGAACCGTTTTGATAATGGCGATTCTAGTAGCTCACCCGTGAGAAAGATGAAGAGCATTCAGGAGATTTATGATACAACTCAACCGATAGAATCCATGTTTGATGATGAGTTTACTAATTTTTGTCTATCTGCTAGATTCAAAGGAGTTAACAGGAAGAAGAAGTGGATCAAAGTGAAAGATAAGTTGAAACCCTTTCGGAAGAAGCTCAGAGTCAAAGCTAAAGGATGAACAAGTTTAAGGGGGAGTTATGTTGGAACATAAACTTGTTCCTAATATTTTGTGCTCTAGAAAAATGTGTTCAAAGAGTTTAGAATTTTGTGTTCAAATAATTAAGTACTTAGACTATATTTATTAGTAGTTCTAGAATGATCTATGGTGTAGTATATATATGGGTTGTTTGAAGTTTGTAGTACAACAACAACAAAAACACAAGAAAATAAATGAGTATTTTGAGGATTTCTCCTCCTCTCTTCTCATTCATATACTTATAAAAGTATATAAAGAAAAAACCTAAGAGCTTACAGTTTCAACATGATGGAGAATTCAGATTTTCCACCGAAACAACAAAAGCAATATTAAAAAGGGTTACTACTCTAGGGAGACCAACATATCTCAATGGTTTCGAGATTTTCATCCTCTCAAAGTGTTTCATCAAAATGGTCATATCTCCATTTAAACTCAAGGGTTGCTTATATAAATAGTCAAAAGAAGTTGATCACAATTTAGATTTTTCCCCCAAATGTCTATTACCTAAAATACCCTTGTCTAATACAAAAGATAGATAAGTATATATTCAATATTATATCCAATACTCTCTTCTTTCCTACGCTTGATTCGATGAACCGACGTCGTCTCTCGTCTTCTTCTCCGCTCCTTGCCTCTTGCGCTTCCTTTTATAAACGTATCGAATTGGCGGTGATCTATCAATACTCCCCTCGATAACATTCACCTTGTTCTCAAGGTAAAAGGCCGGAAACTGCTTCTCGGGGGTACATGGGAACCGGTAGTGGTGGGCGTTTCGGTTCGGTTCTTCGGAACTGGACCGAACTGAACCGAAAAAACGTTACTTTTTTCGACTCGAAACTGTTTTCAATTTCCGAACGGTATTATTTATAGAGAACCGATTTTTTCCGGAACTGAACCGAACCGAACTTTAAATAATCCCGAAAAATCGAATATTTTTAAAGGGAATCTATATTTTTTTAATAAAACCCGGAACCGAACCGAACTGATACCGAAAGCATACCGAACCAAACACAATATAAAAACCGATTGGTCAAATCCCATTATGACTTGAAACATGCATTATGACAGTGGAATTTGAAGTTACATTAGACCTCACCCAAACTTGAACTTGACAACGTCTTCAGTGTCAATCCAAACAGAGTGGGTACAAACTAATAAAGTGAAAGAAATAATGAAAAAAACAATAATGAAATAGGAGAGAAAAGAAACTTAGCTCAATGGAACTCATGTATTTATCGTCTCTCCTTTTGCTTAACAAATGATGATACATCAAAAGAATTATCACCACAAACGGTTTGACGATTTTCTATCTCACCGAAAGCTAATTTGGATTTTGTGGACACAATGAATCAAGCATCTCAATTTGTCAATTTTTCGTCGTCATAACCAGTAGGATCCAATGATTCTAGTGGTCAACAGAACAATTTAAAATTTATCCACATTAATCAAACTCTGACCCGACCCAAATGCCCACGGGTTATGCGTTTAAAATAAAGATACATTTGGTGGTGTAGTAGACAATCAGTAACTTTCCATTTATCGCATTCATTAGATGTCGGGTTCATATACGAAAGTAATTCTGGTGTTAGAGAAGAACTCTTGTTGAGTTTTCAACATCTTCATATACAGTGATAAGAAGTAGTCGATGACCTTGTATCATATGTGTATGCACTGTATAGGAAGATGTTGAAGACCTAACTAGAACTCTTCTCTATCTCCATAATTATTTTCATGAACCAACTTTTCAACACAAATGAGAACTCAAATAATACAACAAATGGGAATTCACTGCATATCGACTACACCAACAAATGCATTTCAATTTTAAAGGCATATACCCACAGGTATGGATTCGGTCGGAACTTGATTAATGTGAACACATTTTATACTGTTCTATTGATTAACCAGAATCATTGGATTATACTAATTGTGAAGACGAAAGAACAACAGATTGAGATGTTAAATTCATTTTGTCCAGAAGACCCAATTGAATTTTAGTTGAGATAGAAAAATATCAAACCATTTGATAGTAATAATTACTTTGATGTAACATTATTCGTCAAGATCCACGGTATCCATGGATATGAGTCCTTATGAGATAATTCTGATGTAAGATCTCTGCGACAAATCGATGAAAATGATTGTGGGTTATACACTCTCAAATTTGTCCCGTGTCATGCCTTCGAAATTGATTTCAATGAAGGTCACCTCCTGAAGAAAAATATCTTGTCTTTATCGATTAAGGATGACAAACACAATTCTAGATTTTCTTCTTCGATCTAGTAAAAAATGTTTCAAATATAGATCATTGAGCAGATCGACATATGCCATAGTCAATGTGCCCATAATACAAGAGAATGAACTTAAATCTCCAAATTTTGGATAAAATACATTTTTTTGTGTTCTTATATTGAACTCATTGTATAAATATTTTTTAAAAATTTTGTATAAATTGATTATTTCATTTATTTTAATTTTATCGATTATTCATCTTACATAGATAACATGCTAAATGAACTACCGCATGTCGTGAAAGACGACTTGCTGCAGGTTGTGATAAAAATAAACTACAGATTACGTATAAAAGAGAATGAATTTGAAAGTTTCAAAACTTGGTTAACATGTATTTTGTGTACTGAACTCAAAGTTTATTATATAAAATGCATGTTGGTTGAGGGTCTGCTTCAAAAATATTTTGACCTACTTTTAAACAGTAAAACATAACGAAATAATTATATTTTTTAGAAACCTTTTCATCTCCTAAAAATAACTTTCAAAATTTTGTTAAAATGCATTTTTTTATACTGGACTCAAGTTTAAAAATTTTGTATAACGTGTTTCTAACATTTTCTAACATGTAACTTTTCCTCTTTTAAATTTTCTAAAATAATGTTACTATACCACCAAAAAAAATAATAATATATTTGCTAAAATAAAAAAATCAATTTTTCAAAAAAATAACGACTTTCTAAATTTCTTTCAGATCAAATATTTAACCAAGTTAAGCGAAATTTTAAATGGTTGGATTACTACTGCCATGAATGGAAGGAGGTTTTAGAATTTTTAAAATTCAGAAACCAAAAAAATAATCAATGAAGTTTTTACATATTTAGTTAGCTAATTTAATAAAAATATAAACTAAAAAAAACTCTACTTTTTAAATTTATAAATATGACAAAAATAAAAAATTAGAAACCAAAAATTAAAAACCAAAAACTAAATAAAATAAAAACTCAAAATAAAAACTATTATCATATATCATGTCCTTGCCATGACAATAATATTTTTTTAAAAAAAAATATCCACATCAACGAATCGATAATTAATTTTATCATATGGTAGGAAAATTGGGTCAATTTGATCCACGATTTAATTTTTTTTATACAAATTTGGTTTTTAGTAAAAGTTTTGACAAATAAATATGTTATTTCGAAAGTTTACAAAATCATGATTTTTTAGGACATATTTTAGTACCTGTATCGAGGACACCGATAATAATGTCTCGTTCGACACGGAAGTTCCTTTGAACGGAGAGCGGGAGGCCGATGAAATCCCAAGATCTGGTGGTGTGAAGATGGTGATGTTCGTTCGGAATCCCACCGACGACTCCGTCCATAGCCGTCATCTTCTCGGCCTCATCTTCCGACAGCTTCGCCGCAAATGCATTGAAGCTCTTAGCGTAGCTATACACGTGCTGTGATACTCTATTTATATATAAAAGAGAACCGCTGGGAACAGTTTCAGTTTTGGGTGGTTAAAAAAAATAAGAAACGTTGAAAACGTGGGCAGGTAAAAGTTTGACGGCTGAAGTTTTTAAAATTTTTAAAATATAAAAATCTAAAAAAATATTTTTTATAAATTTATTTTTTCTTAAAATTTGGAAAATTATTTTGGTGAAAAATCAATAAAAAAACTAAAAGCTACATTTTTTTTAGATTTATAAATATTATAAAATTCAAAAACCAAAAACCCAAAACCCAAAACTAAAACTAAAAAACCAAAATAAAAATACAAAAGCCTTTGTAAATTTTTTTTTATATTTCCAATTGAAATGTAAGTCAGACCAAAAGCTATAATATATTTCATATAAAAATTATTACTTTTAGGCATTATGCAACACATCAACCAACTTTGAATATGAAACTTTTTTTTTTTATTTGCATCGAATTACACATTAAAAAGATTCATATATTTTAATATCGATGTATACCTCCAACAATATTGAAATATATATATTACATCCGCCCGCATCTGTGAGAGACAAGAACGTGAAGTCCTCCATCAACGTGAAGGTTAATCATTGTCTTGTAGGTCACATCTTTGTGATCGGTGCTAAGTTTGAACTGAAAACAACGCAGCATTACAGCCGAGAATATCTTCATCTGTCTGTACGCGAATTCTTTTCCCAGGCAAATCCTCGGCCCTGCCTGTCAAAAACCATTACCAAAATCCATCTCTCAATGTCCTAAAACCATCAGAAAATCGATCGATCCATCATCGGAAGAAGAAAACGATACTACTAACCTGAAAAGCTGTAAACTTGAAAGGGCTTTCGGCTCGAAACTTTCCGTTTTCATCGAGCCATCTCTCCGGTCTGAACTCCTCAGCATCATCTCCCCAAACAAATCTCATTCTGCCCATCGCATATGGCTGGTAAGCCACCATATCTCCTTTGTTGACACTAAACCCATCTGGGAACGTATCATCCGACAAGCAAATCTTGGCATCCTGTAAGAATATGTGTTCATCATTTATCTATCTACCTGATCCAAAGTTGCCAGTTGAAGATATTATATAGTTACCACAGGGACTGCAGGATAGAGCCTTAGAGTCTCAGTTATAGTTGCATGGAGATAATGCATCTTTTCAAGTGTTTCTTCGCTTAAGCTCTCAGCCAATTCGGCGAAGGAGGTGATGTCTATTGACCCAGTAGCTTCCTTAACTTCTTCTGCAACCTTTTCTTGAATTTCTTGTTCCTTGCAGAGTGAGTAGATTAGCCAGGATAGAGTGGCAGCTGTCGTGTCTCTCCCAGCAATAACAAAGTTGAGGATTATGTCTCTCAGATACTTGAGATCATTGGTGTCGGTAACTTGCAAAAACCTTGACAAGATGTCTGCTTTCTGCATCTGCATGATATCACCAGATAAGACATTGAAAAGAGTTTCATACGGTTAAGGGGAAAAAAGGAAAAGTTTTGTGATTGATGGGTTTCACACAGAGGAGTTGTCTGATTCCTTCAGATCATCATCCATCTGTTCAATCTTGAAGCGGATCAACTTGTAAACGAATTCATCAATGGCTTTGACGTTCTTCTTCAACGCAGCTTCAGACCCAAGGTTGAAGAATCTCTTCATCTTCCAGGGGAAATCGACATAACGCCAGAGGGTAAGTGCACTTGCATTGTCGAAAGCAGAGCTGAACACCTTCCCTTCCTGGGTTGATCCACACAAGCTATCGAGCTCAAAACCAAAAGCGACTTTGAATATGGAATCAAGAGTTGACTTCATGAACAAGTCCTGGTCGACCCATTCCAAATCAGTATATTTACAGAAACAAATATCATCAGAAATGGGGGATTTAACAGAGACAAAACACCTGGATATCGATGATGCGGTCGGAAGAAGCGGCATCAGAGACAATAAGAGCGAGTTTAACGGCATTGGTCTGAAAGATAAGGCTGCTATAATCTCGGAGGAATCGAGTGGAGAATTGGTGGCTCGAAAGCTTCCGCTGTTGACGCCATTTCTCTCCATCCACTGCGAATATTCCATCTCCCAGTAGATCACTAAGGATGGTATAGTTGTACAATCCCTGATCACATGTATATAACCCTTTTGATTATCTTAAGCAACAACAAAAAACCCTAAATCGCCCAAAAAAGAAAAAGGAAAGAGAAATACCTTGCCGTAGTTGTCGAAGTTGGACTTGAGGATATACTCGACATTGACGGGATCGGAGGTGTAAACCTCGTTCCGGAAAGGGGCCAACAACCTGTAGGTCTTGTGCTGAGAAGCCAGATCTGTCATGTAATGATGCAACCTTTTGAAATTCAACAGCTGGTTCAGCATCGTCCCTCCGACCGGATGATACTTCTTCTTCTGTCTTTTCATAGACACAAACCGGACGATGAACAAGGTCAAAATTGCACCGAGAGCTGCTACGTAGTAAGGAATCCATAAAGAACCCATCTCCTCCTTCTTCTTCTTCCTCCTCCTTCTTCTTCTTCTTATCTGGTTGGTCTTTAATTATGTGTCGAATCCTTATGATAACAGAAAGGCACAATAGCTTAAAATGAACTTTCAAACATTTTTATATAAACGCATGAAATTTAAAACTTTGAAGAAAATAATAAATAATAAATTTGGTGAATATTGTTTTGCAATATTTTCAAACTTTATTTGTTTTTTAGAAGTTTCAAAGTTTACTTATTTATAGGATATTTTTAAAAAAGTCATGCTTAGGTTATTGTCAAACTAAACATAAATTCATATCTAAACATATTATTTATCTAAATTTTCATAAAAATACACTACTTCCCAAAAAAAATTGACGGTCGGTTTAATGCAAATTTTATTTTACATATAATTTTTTTAAAATCTCTATAAATTTTATGTATTTTAAAAACTATAATTTTTTTTTAATTTAGTTAGGAGTTTTTTTCTTTCTAAAATGTGTATATTTTTTAAAGTTAAAATTTTAACATATTAATGTGAATGTCGATAATAAATATATATATATATATATATATATATATAGATATATATATATTTGCGGCTGTTGTTGACGACTCGCAATGGAAAATGAAAGGTTGGCAAAGTTATCTTTTTTCTGAGTGTTGACAAGTGACAGTGTGATCAATATCGCCCTTAAAGGGCCCACTGATGTGGATATGAAGTTTATGGGAATTTAACCGAAAAGACAAAAAGCCCGACGGACTGGGCCCAAATATTAAAAATATAAAATCTATATATATAAAAAATACAGTTGAACTATGAAGAGTGACAGGTGTCAATATAACTATTCTTTGACAAAAGTTATTATGGCAATCATAATAACATTAAATAAAGAATAATTGATTTCTGAGTTTTACGATACCAAAAAAATGATTTAAACGAGGTTCAAAGTTTTTTGAGAATATTTAAGTTATTCCTCAATCATTTAATTAAAGTGAAATTCCAAACTATAAAATGATGGAAATATGCTCCCAACAATCACATCAGCAATACAAATTTCTGAATCCACCAAATTGGTGTTTGAGCATCGTAAAAACCAGAGATCCATTCCGATTCGTGTTAGAGATATTAAAAAAGTCATGTTTTTACTTTCTATTTTCTATTAAATCTATTTGTTTTTTTATATATGATTAGTAGTATTTTTTTGTTTTACTTTAATACCATCGAATCAATCAATAAAATATATTAATTTATTACTGTTATCAATCTGTTAAACATAATCTTTAGTTTGTTTGCATTAGAATTTTTTGTATTTATCATAACAGTTGCAACTATGAACATTGTTGATCGTTTTAATTGATAAGTGGGTGTTAAACTTGGAGATAAGTTTTATTATTTTTTTTAGTTTTCACATTGTTTATATATCATTATGATTTATCTATTATAGGTTAGAATTTTTTTATCAAAAATTGTTAGTGTTATGTATCCAATAAAAATATATTTAAAAACTTTTTATTTAAATTATTAGTTTGAGTAATACTTAGAGAGAAAATAAATGTGTTATTCAATTTATAAAACTATTTATAGATGTATTATATATTAATTTAAAAAGACTATTTACGTCATTTTCAACCGTATTTAAAACATTATTTAAATTAGTTTATATAGACCTATAAATGTGTAATATATTAGTTTAATTTGTATTCAATATTTTGATCGAGACTTTTAAAAAAAAGAAACTTTGTGAAATTTAATTTTAAATTTATTTATTTTTTAAATTACAATCATATATATAAAACAACAGTTTTTTTCTTATGGTGTCCATATCTATATTCACCCTCTCAATTATTTTTTTTATTTTTTTAATTACACTCATTTAATTATTCATTTTCGATGCACAGTATCTTTAAAATATATTTATTTTAGTACTATTTCATAATAAATAGTACTATTTCATATTCAATGCATGAAAATTTATTTTCTCTAAATAACCATCAACAAAACCACGGTCTTCCTTCATCATTAAATTATTTCATCGTTGTTTATGTTATTCTATTTGGAAATTATAATTTAGTTAAATTGAGTTTTAATTTCATTGAATATTAATTTAAATAACAAAATTGCAAACTATAAAATGGGGTAGGTAATGTGAACTCGGTGTCTAATATGTCTAAACCCGATTTTCTTTATCCTGTAGGGTTTGGATCTTTGATCATGTTCTTCCATCCAAACAGAAGGAGGAGGATGACAGAAAGGTAGAACAAATGGTAAGGATATCTCATACATTACTTGAGTATAAAAACGGAAACTACGCCTCAAAGCTGCAGAGCTTCGTATCGATGCTTCACTTTATCTATGAGCTATGTTAGGCCATGGTATTCATTCTCTTTCTCTTCCTTTTTCTCCGTCTATGCATGATAGTACATGAGTTTTAATTTATATGTGTAAATCTGTGATGGATGCATGTTCTTCGAGAGTTGAGTTCGATTATTTTTAATTATCGGGTCATTAGATTCGTGGCGAATTATCGATTCAGAACTATAAGGTCGTTCTTCAAGCAATGAACTTTTCGGATAATCCATCACAAGAATAATTGGGCCAATTATGTGAGAAATTTATTCACATGTCTCATATTTTTTGAATTAGTCAACTTTGTGAAAAAATTCTAGTTTAAGATGATGGGTAATTTCTAAAATATTCGAAGTGCACTTTTTTTTCGTCTAAGTTTGTGTACCTTCACTTCACTTTCCCAAATTTCTTCTATGAGTCTTCTTAATTAGTGGAATTTTTTTTTTAATTATTTGTCATGTCACTCCATTATTTTTCTATGGGTCTTTTTTTAATTAGTGAGTTTTTTTTTTCAGATTCTGCATAAGATGATTTATATTTATTCAATTTGGTTTTGTAGGATGCTTAGTGTTTGTTTTTGCAGTATAGTTACGTGTTACAACGTTTGATTGATGGATGCAACGATATGATTTTATAGTTTTTGCAGAATCCTTAATATGGTGAGTTTAAAAAAGATGGGTTTTTAATGATTTGGATGTGAAGGACGCATGAGAATATTTTTATATATGAAAATTGTCTCTGCGAGGACTCCGTAGGACAAATATTGCAGTGGAAATAAAATAAGTATACAATGTTGAGATATACCGGATCTTGAAGAATATTACAAGATATATCGTATAATGGAGATCTTATCAAATCCGGAAAATATATATATTTATTATTATATCTATTTTACTTATTCAATGTAAAACTCTCATCTATTTATATGTTATTTTGATTATCAATAAAACATATCATTCCGCAAATTTCTACATACAATAAGTTCTGTTGTATGTAATACCGGTGATTGTTGTTTTGGAGAAAGAGAACAAAGATCGAAATTGTTTTGGAAATATGTGCTAATTGCATGAAAACAACCGACATCTTAATCTTAACATGATCCGCTATTTACTTTTGTAAAAGAACCAAACACAAGTAAGTTTTACGTTGTTTAGGAATGTACATTTTGGCAATGCTGTCATTGCCTTGCTTGAAAACTTTCCCTGTCAATAGATCAGTGAGGGCGGCTAATAAAGTTGATCAGCGTTAGAATTTATTTTTCGTTGTTCGCATCACGTGATCTTATTTTCTGGAGGTGACTTGGCCCCTTTCCCAACATACATTTTTGCGTTTAACGATAGTTTTATTGGATAACCGGGTTTCCTGGGGCGATGACCAGACTAATCTCGGGTCGGGAATCAGCCATGTGATTTGAATTATACGCTCTTCACCCCAGCCCGGAATTCGAATTCGGGACGGAACAGATGCTTTGCGCTCCCGTTTAAGGATAGTTGGTTTGATAGTATAGATGTATGGATTAGGCTATTCTGTTAGAAGATGCACTGTTTGTGATTATATATGATATGAGAATGTGGACAACGTAATGAATGAATTTGATCTATATGTTGGTTTTCTATTTATAATACAAAAAGATATGTGTGTCTTTACTTATTAAATAACCTCTTTTTGCTTGCATATGTGATCTTCGGCATCCAACTATATATGATTGGTTTAAAGTTTTCTAAATTGCCTACTCGAATACCATGTTGAATTCCTTTGTTACATGAACAATTAACAAGTATTCAGACGGGTTTGTCTTAAAGGAAGGTTATTCAAAATTGTTTTTTCTCACGACATATGAATTAACTATTGTTCGTGTGATAATGAATATGTGCAGGTTAATGTCGATGAAAAACCTAGAAGGGTGGACCCACATGTCGTGGAGATCTAAACAGGTAAGAAGAAATCAATGACTAGGAGAGGTATTGTACGAATAATTAAGAGTTAGGTTAAGAGTGCTTAAAAACCGACGTATATGTTTGTCCGCGCGATGTGCATGGATTAATAACTAGTAAAATAAAAATTAAACTAGATTAATCGAATAACCAAAAAAATCTTTAAAAAGTGAGTATTTTTTATTAAAAAAACTCAAAACGAACTGAAATAAAATAGAACCGAACCCAATTGGATATAGAAACCAAATGGTTATAATTGTTTTAAAATCGAAATAACCGAATCTAAATCTCGTCGAACCGAGTTTAGGGTTGGTCATGGAGGATATCGGGGTGAATGTGCATGCAGGAGGAGCTGCAGTACTTGTAGTTATATCTGTGAAAAGGCACTTTCCCTTCCAAAGACACCTGACAACATGAACACACTGTTTCTCCTTTCATTGTGTTGTTGTTGTTGTTGTTGAGAGCCGCCATCCTTCTTTCTGCCGCTTCTGCCCTCTTCTCCCTCTCCTCCTCCTTTGCTCTCTTCATTGCCTCCTTTTTTTTTTGTTTAAAATTTTTGGACACACAATAAAAACCAATAGAATTTGAGTACACAGTAGAAAATGCTCATCAGATTCAACTATTTTCTATATACATATCATATCAGTCATATATAACATAAACACTATCCTAATAGATAGCATCACAACACAGACAAGGTACAATCATAACCTTACTCGTACCACAGTCATTTTTTTTTTTTTGTTTAAAATGATATCAGATGGAAATCGAAATTATAGGACATTAAGCTAACCTCTTTAGAAATTTTAGTTTGTTTCTCCTTTGAATCCTTCTGGGATTGTGCAGCCTCAGCCTGCAAGACGAGTACCTTTAGTGATAATAATGTTCAAAACAATAGGAAACCTCAGAAGTTGGTTGGCTATTTGTTTTGAGTCTTTTGACTATTCTTGAGGTTGATTCAAGATAAATACAGGTCAGATTTTCTACCTGAGCCTTCTTTTCTCGGGCTTTGCGGAGTTTCTTCAATTCTTTTGCCCTCGCTTTCCTCTTTGCATCTTTCTCTGCCTGATAAGACACGGAAACTGAGTAGTGAGATGACCCATATATGAAAGATGACTCAAAAGCGCGATATAATTGACCTGTTTTCTTCTCATAGCAACCGTTTGCCACGAAACAGTGGGTAAGCACTTGATCAAAATTTAAAATGTCACTAATTCCTGGGGTGCTTATGTGTTATCAACCAACATACCACACTTCAGGAAACAACAGGATCACATACACCAACATGCTTATATACCCTCCTCCTCATCACCGTGACACGCTTTGGTCAATCCTGCCTCTTCCAAAACTTCTAACGAAACAAGTGATCATATCTATGTCAAGTACCTGCTTGGCAGCTTGAGATTCCTCCATCTCTTTTGTGAGTGCGCTCGGTACTTTAGCAGCATGCCAATCCCACTTGTCAAGGTTCGAGGCCATGAACCGCCTGAAAGTGTTTCTCAATTCCTTTTCGTTTGCCAGCATGTAAGCCGTTCTACCTCTTTCATCTTTCGCACAAGGATCCATACCCTGCTCAAGTAGCTCCAAAACTCTATCGCAGTCTCCGGATTTAGCCGCTTCATGCAATGGCGTTGGTTTACCAGTTACTCCTTCTCCACTGCTCTCATCTGAAATATTTGGTTCCTCTGTGATTTTGTTACTGGACGAAGCTTCATTGTTACAATCCTCCTGTTTTATGTTTTCACCAGAATCCTTTTCGTGGATCTGTGGAACTCCACTGCCAATGGTCTCTTCAGGTGGAGTGATACAAATCTCTTTGCCTTCATAGGAAATTTGAGTCAACTGGTTATATATACGCTGGGATTCCTTGAAGGTGGGCCGCCGGACTGTAAATGGAACATTTCGGATAGCGCAGCTCTGGATGCTAAAGCAATGTTTGCTTCCACTGAAAAGCAACTGCCGACTACTTGAAGGAGCATGGACAAAAACACAACAGGAACTATCAAAATAAGGCTTCCAGCTAGCAAGTAGTTCTTGAATGTCCTAAGAAAGTTGAAAAAGATGATAACATTGCATGAATTAGAATCCATGATGGGGATATGGAAGATGTAAACAAAAAAGTTAGTCTCTTGTACTCCAAAATTCTGGCGAGAGACTGACATGAAAATCCGGAAGATAGATCACCAAGTAGGCGGTTGATGTTTTCACCAACTTAGAGAGGTGATAAGATTTAACAATCCTATATCAAGTATTGCCACATCAAACAACGAAAACTTGAAGACTAGAGTTTCACTTTAAGATTTATCCCCAAAAACAATTTTTTTTTTCCTGTGCAAAAGAGGACTCAGAAAAATCACAAGTCAAAAACCAAACACCTTTTAAAATCACAGATAGAATGACAGGAAGAGCACACCCATCAAAGTCAGTTCTGTATTTGATCTAATTGCTTAATTATGTTCTAAGCATGAGTAAAAACCTATACCATCTCAAAAAAAAAACATCCCAGACATGGATTGCAAAATTGTTCAGGGACAAACCTTCTTTAAAGCAAGTTCATTGTAACGACGCAATGAGGCTCCCGCAGAATGTATACTACCCCCACTTCCATCTTTTGTTGATTGTTTTTTACCAGCCTTCGCCCTAACAACATATCTACATAAGGGAAAAAGACAGGTAAAATTAACAAAAAACACTAGATGAGAAGCATTTGCATGACATAGGAAACAAATAACACTGTCCCAATTGCTAGGGCCCAAGTTTGATCTTCGCTTTGTGAGATAAGCCACAGACAAGACACAAGAAGGGAAGTTATTCAAGCAAAGGTCAAATTTGACCAAGCAGAGGTTGATAAAAGTAAAACACCACTAAAATGTTCATCTACTACTATTGGCATTAGAGAAGAAACGAGCTTCTTGAACTATAAACCAATCACCGAGCATAAACAGACCGAACATGTTAGAGACACACCTACCTGTGGAACGTCTTGTGAGCCACAACAGTTTTTCCATCGAAGACGCTACCAGCAAAGTGCCCACCACTAACAAGCAAAACGATTCGCAAATGCTTACTGCCCCTAGTCTCCCGAGACAATTGTCTCAACCTTTCAATCACTTCACCCTCGCCCAACGGCCCACCATCATCATCATGCGAAACGCTTTCAGCCTCTTCCATGATTAAGCTTTTCCAAATGGAAATACTCTCGCCTGTTTGAAGACAAATGTATAGCTTCTTCCTGTACAAACCCTTTTGTGTATCACCAATGGACAAGGATCCTGAATCAGCTTCATTCTCTGACCCTGATATACTTGACACATCGAAGTCTTGGACCGACTCAGACGTCAGCTCATCAACATCTTCTTCTTTCAGGATCGCCTTTCCAGCAACACTTAGCTTGATCTACAACCCACATGGAAGTGGAACCCAACTTATATGAAGGCATGGAGAAATGAAATAAGCCAAAATGTTGCCCTCAGTAATTAACTCAAGGAATTCGAACAAACAGCCAAGTAAACAAGCACAATTCAGTGTTTCCAATCCCGCAAACAAAACTAGCGTACGATATCTAAAACGTTAATATGAAGCAGTATCATGATTGCAGAAGGAATTTAAGGATTGAGAAGCGAAGAGAGAAAGTAATCTACATTAAGCCGGTGAATATCGGATTTGAAGTGGGAGCGTTGGTCCTGAAGAGATTCGAACTCGGTTTTACAAGTGTTACAGGTCCATCTATGGAAAACGGCGTCGTCCTTTGAGCTTTTCTCCTCCGCTTCATCCCTCTTCTCCGGCTTGGGAGCCGACAAAGCCGCGGCTCCGAACCCAGAATACGTCAAACGAGTCGCCGAAGGATTCAGAAGCCGACATGACTCGAAGAACTCAGCCGTCGCGTCAAAGATCGATTGCGGTTGTTTATCTTTTGAGTTGGTCGTCTCAATGGCGGTCGCCATGGATGGATGAGAAAGGTTTGAGATTTTCTAACACGAGCACATTGGAATTGGACGAAGGCGGTGACCAGGTGGATTTTTTTTCAAGATACTCCATAAAACGACGCCGTAGAGCGTTTTTTTAAATAAGTTATCTCATCACACAAATCTTTGTGACAACTTACTGATATTGGGCCGTCGTTTATGCCTATATGAAACAAACAATTGGCCCTTTATGCTCTCTCTCTCTCTCTCTCTCTCTCTCTCGTCCCTGAACTCAAGCCACTATCATCAACACTCGTCTCTCCATCTCTTGTTTCCGTGAAGAGAAATCCCCAGAACCTGGATTTCGTTTCTCGTTTTCTCATCAATTCCTTTTTCTCCTGCGTTCACCGCATTGAATTTCCAAGGTAGAGCATTATACTTGCTACCGCTCATGTGAAATTGACTGCCAAATTCAGTGCTTTTCGTCATGGGGATTTACATCTGTGATGCGATTTCTAGCTTCTCTTTGAAATTCCCAGTAGTCGATGGAAGCCACGGGCCATATCGTCCCTTGCTTAGACGAAACCCCTTACTCTTGAAACCACCTCGGTGGAATGGCCCTTTTAATTGCAATTGTCGGGCGGCTATGGCGGTTGATGAGGTTTTAGAAGAGGGTAAAGAACAAAGCCCTAGGTTTAGGTGGGTTGAGGTCGGTCTGAATCTGACGGAAGAACAGGAGAAAGCCATATCTCGGCTTCCTTTTAGGATGTCGAAACGGTGCAAGGCGCTGATGAGGCAGATTATTTGCTTCTCCAATGAAAGGGAGAGTTTACGCGATTTGTTGACCGCTTGGGTTAGGATCATGAAACCCATTAGAGCTGACTGGCTTTCTGTCCTCAAAGAGTTGAAGAATCTAGACCATCCATTTTATGTCCAGGTATGTTCCTTCTTCTGCTCATTTGATCTTATGGAACTTCAACTTTGACCTAGAGCAAGATCTTATTCCCATCCAGAAAATGCCCTACAAATTATTGGCATTTGATTAGCTATTCTCTTCCCATCCCAGCGGTTTTTGGATTAGTAATTGGTGTTATAAAGGGAGTTTCTTTTTGGGGGGTTTCATCATGGTATGATACTTCCTTATATGAGTGTTTTATGCATTGTTCTGCCTCCTTAGGTGGCAGAGTTTTCACTGCTTGAGGGGTCTTTTGAAGCCAATGCCCGTGACTACACCAAGATCATTCATTACTACGGGAAGCAAAACCGAGTACAAGATGCCGAAAAAACCCTTCTTGCGATGAAAGAACGAGGTTTGATCATCGATCAAGTGACTCTGACTGCAATGGTTCACATATACAGCAAGGCAGGCTACCACGAATTGGCCCAAGAAACTTTCAAAGAGATCAAATCATTAGGGGAAAGGCTAGACAATCGGTCATACGGTTCAATGGTCATGGCCTACATTAGAGCTGGAATGCCCGAGAAAGGAGAAGCTCTACTCAGGGAAATGGACTCGGAAGAAATCATGGCGGGAAGGGAAGTGTACAAGGCGCTGTTGAGATTTTACTCGATGGCTGGAGATGGGGAAGGTGCCAAAAGGGTATTCGAAGCAGTTCAGATGGCGGGGATTACGCCGGATGATAAGCTCTGCGGGCTGCTCATAAACGCGTATAGCGTCTCGGGTCAGAGCCAGGAAGCACGGTTGGCGTTTGAGAACATGAGAAAGGCGGGAATCAAAGCTACGGATAAATGGGTGGCTCTGGTCTTGGCAGCTTACGAGAAAGAAGATAAGATAAATGAAGCGTTGGAGTTCTTGATTGAGCTCGAGAGAGAATCTATAATGGTTGGAACAGAAGCTTCTGTCGTGTTGGCTCGGTGGTTTAAGAAGCTTGGTGTTGTACAAGAGGTGGAGCTCCTCCTCAGGGAGTTTTCTGCTACCCATTCCCCGACATGAACCTTTATTACATTTACATATATATGTATGTACGTATGTATGTGTGTGTATATACTCGATTTTTTTAACGACGTTATCGTAAAATAGCCCAAAAATTACTGGTGATTCTCGAAAAGTACATTCGTCGTCTACGGTAGGAGCAGATATTTCGAGTTTCAATTCGTTATTTATCGTGTTCAGTTTAAAAATTGTTTATTCAGTTTTATAAAAATTGTATCACATCGAATCTAATCGGTCAGTTTGATTTTATTGTCAGATTAATTTTAAAAAGATTTTTTAAAAATTATATTGGTAAAAAAACCAAAATTTGATATTTGCACGTGTATTTGTATAAGACCGACCGATTACTAAATTAAAACCGAATGTTAATTGATCCGGTTCAATCCAATATGATTTCGGTTTAGACCGAGATTTGTAACTAAATTACCAAACCGGAACTCCGAGATCTGGTCTACGGAAATACGGCATTTGATGGGCTAACTAACACTTAAGAAAGCCCACTTCGAGTAAATGGCCCAATAATATAAACGGTCCGGACTAGTCCGGGTTCCGAATCAGCCACAACGTTCTGATTTTATAGAAACAAAACATAATGTTACATAAATCTCAATTGGTCCAACGTTAAACAATCAAACAAGGTAAGTCTCCAAGACACCAATCATCATCAGCTTTTCACAAATTATATTATTTTCGCCAAAAAATTTAAAAAAGAAGAAAAGAGAAAACTTTGGACTAGGAGTCACAATAGGGCCGACCCGAGTCCGCATTCGGTCCGAGAGTTTCGGGTTTGGGTTCAGACCGGTCCAATTTTTTTCGGACCTATAGAAAATTCAAAATTCAGTCTTATAAACTTCAAATTCGGGATCAATCGCTAAATTCTTTTATAAATTTTATTTTTTAAAAATAAAATATTGGATTTTTGAGTTGACCTATTTGAGTCCAACTTGAAAACCCGATTTTTTTTCAGATAAAAAAATTTAGGTCAAAAGCTCGATATTTTTCTGGTGGTTTCGAGTCGGGCTGTGAGTTTCAGGACTAAATTGGTACCCTAGTTTGCAACATGAATATTTAGAAAGCTTACATGAATAAAAAAAATATCAAATGTAAGTAGGCCAACATGTGAAAGATCTTGTGATTTTTTTTCGTGATTCTTAAAGGTTTCATTTGTTCGAGAAATGGTCTCTACCAAGTTGGCCCACCTTTTATTTGCTCCATATGTACTAATGATATGTATGCTAATATTTGAATATATGTGATTTTTAGTTTACAGGATTTGTTTTAAATAAAAAAAAAAGTTGTTATCCAAATTTGGGTGGTCTAATGGCAGGAGAACATGTTCTTAACCTGTGTTTAAAATCAAGCGTGAGGAGGGAGATTCACCTGGACTTTCTCGATCCTCTCAGAGATGTAGCTGGGTCAAAAACCCGGTCAACTTCCGAATTATCAAAAAAAAAACTGTTCAATCTTGTTTTCTGAAATTATTTGGATAATGATATATAGGCCTATATATGGATTTGGAGCTAAAAGTTATATCTTGAGTAATTTTGGATGTGTGTATATATATATAAATATATGTATATATAATAAACTGAAATGCACGCATATGGGATGGTGATATTTTTTCAAAGTTAGTGGAGAAATGACAGCTCCACTCATTTGTTAGATAAACTATGAATACAACGGAAAAGAACAATAAAACAGTGAAATCGAAATAAAGATGAAACAACCCGGATATAATCTTCTAGGCGCGTAGAACACTTTCCTAAAACGTTATTCCCTCCCCTACCGAGCAAAGGAGAAACTCGAGAATACGTTTAGAGATACAAAGAAGATCCGCAACGATTGATTTGCTCCTCAAACGTTGCCCAAAACAGAAAAACCCGAGAAAGAAGATGAACAGTAAAAGATGGAGAAGAAGTAGCAAGTTTCTTCACCAAAATGGCTCACAAATCTCTCAAAATCAAATTAGATTTCGTATATGAATATTCTCTGACGTTCTTGGCTTTAAAAACACCAGAGACATGATCAAAAGTTGTATCCATTTAGTAGTTTTCATGCGAAAGGCCGCATTTGTTCATATTACAGACATTTAACACGGCCGTGTCGAATCTGACACGGTCCGTGTCAATTGTCTGTGCAAAATTAACACTCTATCAGAGATTTGACACGGTCCGTGTTGCACCTTAACACGGTCCGTGTCAAATGTCTGAGAAAAACAACATTTTCTCAGAGAATTAACACGGCCCGTGTTGAACCTAACACGGCCGTGTTTGTAATTAACACGCCCGTGTTACACTGCCCGTGCAGAATTAACACGCCCGTATTACATGCCCGTGCAAGATTTCTGCACTTAAATTTCACTACTAAATACAAGTATATACTTTACAAAATACATGTATATACTTTACCAATTCATACTATATCATTTACGAATATATAACTCCTCCACCATATCCGTAATACATATAAATATGAATCACATGAGAGATTTATTAAATCCATCAATTTACTCTAAAATAAACAACAATCCTCCACCATTTTAGAGTAAATTATCCATGGAAACTGAGCGATAATCCGTCATCCCCACAACTTTGTGCATAAATGAAAGTATCTTTCGATTGAACTTCCACTTAGTGTAACGTACAACAATAAACTCGAATTACATAGGTGTCAAAACGATTGAACCTAGTAATCCTAATTGAGCTACCGAGTACAAAACACACACAGAGCCGATACAAGTTTTTCTGCAATCCTTGACACTATAACGGCCATGTGTCCATATCCATTCACAAGCACACGGATGTTGAGCCACCAACATCTTGAAGCGGCCTCACTTCATGCTTGTATAGGTGAATCCTTTATGGTATC